CTAACTGTAGTCAAAGGGCGACACTATCTACATGGATCTCGCTTCGACGTTTACATCGACAATTCCGCCTGCAAATCGTTCAAACACACTCCTGTGCTTACGGCTTACGCCCAAGTTAACCCGTTGGTTGGCTTTTCAGCGCCTTCGATTTTGTTTTAACCCATCGTCTCGGAAAGTCTAATGTGGTCGCTGTTGCACTTTCTCGCCCTCGTCGTGACGACAGCACGACCAGACCGACGATTTCCGTGCATACCTGTGGTATGCGTTGCCAGCTTCATGTTGCCTGTCTGGAAAATTTCCAACCGTCCCCACTACTTTCAACCTTGTCGTCCTGAGAACTGGAGGATCGCCCTTCTTAGGGGAGGAGTGTGATAGCGAAAAAAGGCCTCTGATTCCCCAACGACAAGTTATCAACCACACGCAACAAGTTTCGTACACCACTGTCGAAATGGATGAAGCAACAAGAGCCCGCTACGTCAAAGCGCATACAAGAACGATGCATTATTTATACAACATACAAGAAAGGACCGGTTCATCATCAAAAACGGATTCTACTCTCTCCGTTCAAATGATTAAATCTGGAAGCTTTGTGTCGCTAACGATGACAACCATAGAGCAGAGATCATCCACCAAGCACATGACGCTAGTATCTCAGCTCATCCTGGAACACAGCGCACTACACTAAGCGTCGCCCAATGGTACTTTTGGGATACAATGATGGAAGACATAAAGTTATACGCGGCAACCTGTGAAACTTGCAGCTGATACAAGACTAGCAGTTTGCGAGCGAATGGAAAAATGATTCCGATTCAAGCCCCAAAAGAATGTTGGTACACGATATTCAGGCGATTGGATTACAGGCCAATCAATGTTGCAATCATGCGATGAAATTTTGGTCGTAGTAGACAAGTTATCGAAACGAGCTAAGTACATTCCAAGAACCACGAAGCCGGCGCTGACGAATCTGCCAAGTTGTTCTTTGATCACGTTGTCAAGCATCACGGATGGCCAAGTGAATTATCAGTGATCGAGACCCCAAGTTTACAAGAAAATTTTGAAATCATTGATGAAAATCATGAACATACGCCATCACCATAGCCGTCATCACCACAGCCGGTCGAGTACAAGCCGATGGAGCATCCGAAAGACAGAACCTAACCTTAGAAGACGATCTCCAATGCCAAGTCTCATAACTTGGAGACGATTGGGTTGGTCATTTACCAACCATCGAATATGCCCACAACGGTCTCGTACAATCATCAACTGGACTAACGCCGTTCCAAGTCGATACCGACAGACTTCTCGAAATCCTGTTATAAACAACATCTTGCCAAGAAACGACTTTGCTCAGATCTTTTCAGAAAAACGCAAGGAAATCCTGAAGATGGCTCAAGACAACTTACTCAAGACTCAAGCAAGACAAAAGGAATTTCATGACCACAAACAATTAAGTATACATTCAAATTGTACGACCAAATATTGCCTGCAACTAGAAATTTGCCACTCAAACATGCATAACAACTCAACGGAGCCGAACGGCCAAAACTAGTGCCACGATTCATTGGCCGATTTCGAATTGTCGAAGTCATCAACGATAACCCAATGCGCCTCAAACGTCCCAAGCCCATGTTGCGTTTGTCAACGTAGACCGACTCAAGCGTTACAAGCAGCATGATCCCAAGTTTGCATCGCGACCGATTCCCAAAGCGACACCCGTCATCCTCGACGATACACGACGACGAAGTTTACATTGTTGAGAAACTACTGACGAAATGAACGTTCAACCACAATCTCGAGTTCTTAGTCAAACGGCATGGACAACCTGAAAGCGACGCAACATGGGAACTCGCCAAAAATATCAAACATGTAATCCACCTCAAGCAACTCCTACAAGACCTCCACCGCGAAATGTCTCAGCGACAGCGAGACATTCAGGAGAGAATGTTGCGATCAGCGAATCAAATTGCGTAGATGTCACTCGTCAGCGAGAATTCAGCATTACGAAAAAATATTGATATCATTGCAATATTGTTTTGTCACATGCATATACCAAGTACAGGAGAGATCGACGAGTTTGTGGCTCCTTCAAGGATTGTAAATAAAGACAAGACGGATGTGGAGTTTCTAGGAGCTTATAACTCGATCATAATATCATTCTACAATTTACCTCGCCTCGCACAGTCCTTAACAACCCCGCTTCCTCCAGCGCCGAGTAGGTGCTACAAAGCCGATCAAGTCAGTAATCAGGCTTGGGGTACGCGCCCCGCACAGATGCCAAGAATGATGATGATGCTGTAGTAAACGAATTGGTACTGTACAGGCAACGCTTTCCACAGAGCAGGTATTGAAGATAGCTCGAATGTGCTAAGATCCAGCAGACGAAAGGATGGTCACGGCAAAACTGTGTCGACAGCCTGCTCAGAGTGACAAATGCAGCACTGGACTAGAATAAGTATCATCGAACGAAAACGCTTGAATGGGAAGGAGCTGTGGCTCGCCGAAAATGCGCATCGGACTCCTCCCGTTGAAAGCGTACCAATCCACTCCAAGGAGACGCTAGCGACATCGGACTTGACCATATCCTGGATGGAAAGTCATCATGTTGGACTTTTGGGATTGAATACCTGAAAACAGGTAAGTTTGTACGGCGAGGGCGTATTCGCTGAGGAAAGGGGCAAGACAGCGTAACGAATATCAATGGAATCAAACGGCTCAATGCAGCTGCGAACCAAATTCATGGCGGCGGTAAGTCCGGAGCCGATCATCAAATGTATGTTCCAGTCCAAACATCCGGTCGATGATTTCATCAATGCCAATGTGAATCGTACAGGCACTTACAGCTCTCACTTGGTCAGACTAGCGTTATCCTAAGCAAGTGCTTCCCCGTGGATGCCCAGAACTCTTCTCAAGTGGCACCAGCCAGGTTTTCCCAGAATCGTACTGTCTCTGTATTAGTTGCTTCAAACAATCTCGTTCGAACTGCAATGGCGAAACCGATCTTCCAAGGACACGGCAGCAATTGCCAAGCAGTCGCAATTTCGCTGGCGGGACACTTTCACAGCAAGAATAATGTATACCCAACAATTCAGGGTGACAAGACACGAAGAATATTCATACCTCACACAAGTACTCCGCATCAACTTTATCACCTGTGCATTTGGCCTTGCCCATCGTTGGAATCAAATTAATGAGCCTGTCGAGCCGGTAAATGGCTTTGGTCCAACTACAATGGAGTTGAACGTCCTCGTCCCCGACATGGTCATGGACGGATATTGTAGTTGTACTCGACTGCGATATGTGTTTGGATCCCCCTTCACAGTATTTGTTGTTTGCAATGCTGTGCAGAATGGACCTGATATAAGCACGCTGAGCCATGCCCCACAACAGCGTACGTAATCCCGGTGAAGGCAGGGATTGCCGCGCAAGTGGCGTGGTAGTCCCATGGACGGCGGATCAGAGAACCTTCGTCCGAGATGGACGACGGTCGTGGTCGGCATCTTGGTGGTTGACAACGCCACGGTCTTCCCGCAAGCTGCGGACGTATTTTTGCAAACTGAAAGTAAATCGGACATTGCCACCAACAATACCACTGTTCTCGAACGATGTATGGACTCCTAACAATAGTAGTGATTCAGCAATCAAATGTATAGAACGAATAAGGTATTCATGTCCAACTTGCCCAACGTTAGTAAGTTTTTGATTGAAACTTTGGATGGGGCAAGGTCATTTTTACATTTACAGTAGTCGACGGCACCGAGGGGACCAGTGATTAGGTTTATCGTAAAAATTGCACATGAGAGTAAGTGATTCGAAACCAAAAGAATGATAGAATATAAATGGAGGTATGCATTTGTAAAGGTAAAATGACTCACACTCTGAGCTTCGTGCGGTACGTGCAGTGCGAGCTTCGTGCGGTGCGTGCAGTGCGAGCTTCGTCCGAGAAGAAAGGCAATGTTTGCTGAGACTTTGGTGGCTCCAGTACGACGAAACTTGGCGTGAAGACGAAGGATATCAAGACGTTCACTCAGTAGTTAAGCTTCTTGGCCGTAGATGTCGAAAGTAGCTCGTTTTCGCTTCGTAGTCATCATCGGAGATGGAGTTGGTTGCGGGCATGTCAATGCAGGAAGGTCCACGAATGGTGACAACACGCTATTATATTCGAGTGTTTTATGTGTCACATTTCATGCAACAAAATGTACATTTCCTAAATTAATTCGAATTAATGTTCAAAGGTTATACGTTATTGTAAGGGAAATGTGATGGATTCTAGATCATTTTGGCATCTTTTCTGACAGAGTATTGATTTTCACGAATGACGTCCAATGGGCTTTGTTTCTATCACAATGAGTCCGGTTCACTCACAAAATTTCAGGAAAAATGGTCATGTGACTCAAAAGAAAAGCTCTTTTGTCCCCTCGCTGCCGTCGTGTACTGTTAGTACCTACCAGCTCAAACCAAGGTAGTCCGTCAACTTTACCTACACCCCTGAGTATTAGCAACAGAAAACTACAAGCGCAATAGCTTACGACAGCTGTGAGATTTGAACTCACGAGGGTTTCCCCAATAGATTTCGAGTCTATCGCCTTAACCGCTCGGCCAAGCTGTCTCACCAAGAAGGTCATGATCACGTCGTGGTACATCCATATAATTCATACTGTGTTGACATATATTTCAGGGTCGAAATGATTGTTTGTCAATCGCGCCGATTGGCTAAAATCTTCGATCATCATTTATCCATGCGTCCGCCGAGCTGCGCCGGCAGTCCTTCAGGCGAAGCACATTGCATGTACTCCTACATCGTATGCAAGCAACGACTCCAACAAACGTCGACTTCATTGGATCCGTCGTCTTCGACGAAACGTTGCAGAGATTTTACCTGAACCTACTTTTTATTTTTACTCCGAATTAGCACAATTGCGCCACTGCATCACGTCAGTGTGCCCGTTGTCAAAGGGAACTATATTCACATTTTACTGTATATACTACTTTTTCATCCCTGTCCTAGCCTTTGGTTTCTCAGGTGGGCTCAGTGTCGTAATAAATACTACCTCTGTCCGGAAATACTTGCCCCAAACAGAATATTTGGGAAATGACGGTGAAGATGGTCGAATTATTTCATTCTGAAAACATGAGCGTGATTAGTAGACTCTACAGTTCACCAATGTCATTGCTTCGTACCAAACTGAACCCAATCACAAAAGATACAGCAAGTGAAAGCCTCAATACTTAAACCCATACAACTTGGACAATTTTAACCAAAAAGGCGTTATCCGGCTATCCGGATAAGGACAACTTTATCCGTAAAACTCAGCGGGTCAAGATCGACAAACGAAATGCGCGCCAAGAAGAACTTGACGGACAACGACCGGAATGCCATCCTCCAGCAACTACTCGCGCGAATGATTGACGACAAGGCACTGCCTAGAGGTGCCTTCGTTGACGTAGCTGCATCCTTTGGAGTTGATAGAAGCACGGTTCGTCGCATCTGGCAGCGAGCAGCTGTTGACCTGTCTGACAAGATACGGCCGTGTCGTTCTGTGTGCTCGAAACGGAAGGGTCGTTGTGGCCGCAACATCAAGCACGATATGGTGGCTGCACGTCTGAAGCTCGTCCCAAAGGCTCACCGTACGACATTTCGGTCAATCGCTGCCGCAATGGGCATTCCAAGGTCGACGTTGCACGACTACTATCGCCGCGGGATCTTCGTCAAGTACTCTAGTACAGCCAAACCCGCACTCACCGATGCAAACAAGGCCGTCCGATTGAAGTGGGCGATCGACCATGTCCACCCAGTCAGTTCGTCGGACTACGCCTTCGACGACATGATGAACTGCGTCCATGTCGACGAAAAGTGGTTCTTCGCGACCCGGGTCCACAAGTCGTACTACCTGGCGCCCGACGAGGAGCCACCCCATCGCACAGTCAAGTCCAAGAAGTTCATCACCAAAGTGATGTTCTTGTCTGCTGTGGCCCGGCCTCGATGGGATCATGACAGAGCGGCATGGTTTGACGGCAAAATTGGCACATGGCACTTCACCGAACAAGTGCCGGCGGAGCGCTGCAGTCGCAACAGACCAGCTGGGACGTTGGTCACGAAACCGGTCAGTGTGACGCGCGACGTGTATACGGCCATGCTCGTCGACAAGGTCATTCCCGCCATCAAAGCAGTCTGGCCACGTGGTGACACGAAGAGTGTCGTGATCCAGCAGGACAACGCCAAGCCACACGTTCCCCCGTCGGACCCTCGTATCGTTGCCGCGTGTACAAGCGATGGATGGAGTATGCGGGTCAAGTTCCAGCCTCCAAACTCACCAGATCTCAACGTGCTGGACCTCGGGTTTTTCCGAGCGTTGCAGACTCTGCAAGAGCGGAACTATTCGCGAAGCATTGACGACATCCTTGCAGCCACGAACGAAGCATGGCAGGATGTCGATATGATGACGTTGAACAGCAACTTTCTCACGTTGCAATGCTGCATGCAAGAGGTCATTCGTGTGGAAGGCGACAACTGCTACAAGATTCCGCACATGAAGAAGGCAAAACTGGCTGCTGCAGGTATGCTGCCAGAAGTTGTTTGCGTTGATCGTGACACCTTCGATGATGGGTGTCGTCTTCTCAGTGTCACTGATATCGACAAGAAGATCGACGAATTGGCACTTGAAGTGGCGAATTCGATGGACATGAGCGAGTTCAGCTCGCAAATGGAGAAACTCTCGGTTGACGGTGAGCTGGAGGATGACATTGATACCGATCTGGCGTTGATGTTGGGTATTGACCTCATTTTGTAATTCATGTTCTGCGTATTCTATTGGTCGGATCCCATAAATATCAGACAGTAGTACACTTGGGGCAATTTTTCTCGGATCTCAGGATTTCCGTTTGGGGCAACTATTTCCGGACAGAGGTAGTAGTAAATAACCGGTTGTGCTGGTGGCGGGCGCTCTTGGGGTAGGTTGGTTTCCGAGTCCCTAGGCGAACGTTGGCTTGAGTTGGAGGCCGAGGGGGTGCTTCGCTGCAAGCTCTCGGTAGCCTCGCTGGGCGAGCATGAGAGACGCGGCTGCGCGTAATTGATGGTATTCGGGTGACGCAGCGTCGAAAAGTCGAAGCCGGCGTCGGACTGCGGCCTGCCACGTGAGGAAGATCATCTCTTGAAGAACGTGCGCTGGTGCCAGATCGGACATTGTCAAACTTTGTCGCGTTGCGCCGCATCCAAATCAAGTGTACCGTTATGGCAACTGCCATGGCCCACAGTTGATACAGGTTGTCACGGTTCGCCGAGTGCCGGTTGTGGACGTTGAATTGGTCGAGGTGCGTGACACGATGCCACTGGACGGGCGCGCCAACAGCGCTCCATGCCTTGTCGTGCCACTTCCAGATCGGGTTGATATTGGGTATACGAAGAAGGGGTGCATCTCTGTCTCCACGTCGCCGCAGCCGTGTGTGCAGAGGATGGCCTCTGGTTCACGGTGCTGGATGTAGTGTCGACGCGAGGTCACCATGAGCATCTTCATCATAAGGCGAAACCAGACGTCGGTATGCACGGGCGCGGCAGCAGTGAGTAGGCGCCGCATGTCCGCCAGGTAGGTCTCGACTTCAGCTTCCGTGCGGTGGATGTCCGAAAGCATAGGGTGCGTACGGTTTGATTCGGGCGTGTGCATTGTCATGTCCCGAACGTCGCGCCTTGGCCACTGCTCGAATGGCGTCACGACGTCCTTGATGGTTTTCTGGAACGGGTGCGACGTTTCTTCAGGTCGCGGTAGCGGCAGATCTGTTCGGATATTGTGCTGTCTCCGTACCTGGTCGTAGACGGCGCTCAAGTGCTTGTAGGCGGCTGCAGTGTCGCGAGCTGCTGACGCAGTTATCCGTCCGGCTCGGTTGAGGTGCACGCGTGTTGCCGGGTTGTGAACGCGCATTCGTGCCGCAAGCTGTTGCCAGGTGAGCCAGTGACCACTTGGGGTCATAAAGTCACGGAGTGCACGAAACCCGTTCCTGGCGCCGTATAGGCACCATTGTCGCCCTTGCGCGTGCTTCACGCGCTTGGCTGTATGGCGAATCCCATCGACTGCCATCGGTTCGTACGTTGCGAGCCACACAGGCATGCTGGTGACCATGGCGTAAGTAGGTGGCGCTGCTAACCTCTTGGCTCAAGGCGTCTTGGACCAGTGGCGCCAAACGTCAAACCAGAACGGGTGCAGCATCGACGTTGTGATCCACTTGGTGCCCCAGTGCGGCAAGTAGAACAAACAGTCGAACGGATGCGAGTCACGGTGTAGGAAGCCCATGCACGCCGCAAACTGCTCGAGGACCAGCGGCGCCCACATTGGCCGCTCGTCCGCCGGGAGCATCAGCCGCTGCAGTGTGAGGAGGCGTTGGGTTCGTATAGCCGACGCTATGTGTGGAACACAGGCTGCGTTGTGGTGCCAAGACACATGTAGCAGCGACTGGTACGGCTCTGTCGGGTCGCGCTTACGGCCCACCACGTATCGTGTTGGCATCGTTTGCCACGTCGTGACCGTCTTGTGTGGTATCGCCGCCGCCGCCGTGGCATGCCACATTAGCGACGTCACAACCGAGGACACCAGGAGCCGGCGTCCTCGGAGGGTCCGCGCCCGGTGTCCCCAATGTTGGAAGCTCGCGTAGTACCGGTCAGAGATAAGTTGCACTTGGTACGCCGGGTCGATTCGCGTTCCTACGTAGACGCCAATAAAGCGTACCGGTTGTTGAGATTCGGCGACGTCAGCAGCGTGACGGTTGACTTGAATCAACCCTGCCTGACGAAGAGACGAAGGCTTCAATGCAGACGACATTGAAACAAGGGACGGCAGACATTGAACACAGAGTTGGATAGGAGGACAAGCAGCAAACATATCTCCATTAATCACTTTTGTTTTGCCTTCTTGGACTAAGTCGCTTGCACACGCTTGCCGCTGTTCTCCTTGCGCCTAAGACAAACAATACGTCTGTTCAAGAGGTTATGAGTCCAAAACACACGACAGGAACAAGAAGGCTAACTAGATGGCTTCGATCACGACGACCACCATCAAGCTCACGGAGCACAACTACCGAAGCTGGAAGACGTACTTCAAGGGGAGACTGATGGCCAAGGGCCTTCTTCACGCCATCGCCTCGGGACCGGTGACCAGGCCGAGCTAAATGGCGCTAGGGATATCCTAATCGAAACATTAGACCCGAGTCAATACCGCCACGTCCAAGACACCTACGAGGCTCGAACGGCATACGCACGCTTGAAACAGTACCACCAGCCAGCAACCAACATAGATCGGGTGGAAGTCAGTCGCGACTGGGCAAAAATCAGCTGGAACCCACGTCAGGAATCCTTGCCAGACTTCATCCATCGCTACAACGAGATGATCACACGCATGGCGGAGGTCGGCAATGTTGAATCGGAGGATCAATGCGTGATCAAACTCCTTGCGCTCATGCATTGGGAATTCCGCCACATCGTTGACCGAATTATCAACGGTCCGATGCAACCTACCATGATGGAAGTAAAGACTCAACTGGAGTCAGAGTGGAAAGCCGCAATCAAGAGCGGAGCAATCAAACCCCCCAACGGACACGCAAATGTCCAAAGATCGCGCCTTGCGGACACGAGGCAACGGCAACGACGGCCGAAGCAGCCCAAACAGTCGTGGGGGAGGCGGAGGTCGCAGAGACCGCAACGAACGCGGACGAAATGGAAATAAGTCGGCTGGATCAACCGGTTCTTGCCAGTACTGCAGAAAAGAGGGACATTGGTTGGCTGAATGCCGCAAGAAGGCCCGTGACGAGGGAAGACCCGCAAAATCGCGCAACGACAGCTCAGGGAAACGAAGCGCAAGCAGTGACGATGGTGAACAATCATCAAACGCCGTGTTCATGTTCTCGGCCGTCGAAGTCGAACCCATGGTCGACGGAGAGCACGAATCGGGACCACTACGTAACGACCTGACCTGGGGCTGGCATGTCCGACCGGTTCGCCAAGTCGTGCTCCACGGCGAGACTCTCACGGTAACCTTTCTCAGGCGTCGTGATTTGGAAATCGCCCGTCTTCGCCGCTTTATCGACATGAACGAGGCATCCACGCCAAACTGGATGATCCATCCGTTCCTGGTCACCAACTACGACGTAGGAGCCTTCCGCCACCGGGACCTGTCATCCATGTCTGATGGGACACATCACCATCCGTGGCTGCCGCCCAACGCATATATTTCCTTCCCGTTGCAAGTGGGAAACCCGCCATGGTACACCGTGTACCAAAAAAGCCTCCGCCTCTATCAGAGAACGGAGCAAGAGGCACTCAACGTCGGTGCTACCAGCGCCTCAGTAACGACCCACGCCGTCGAGGAAGAGAGCAACACCGCCATGGAGATGACAGCGAGCTCCACGACTGTACATACCTCCGGGACTATGACGAACCACGTCGTCGTTGACTCTGGTGCATCGTCCCACATGACGGGAGCTGCTCAACACCTGCATGCCACGAGTCCGTGTGATCGACGCGTAGTGGTTGCCAACGGCGAGAGCAGCATTGCTACCACAAAAGGGAAACTCAACATCAGGACACCGTGTGGCAAAACAATTACCTTGTCGGACGTGCTGCTTATCGAAGGAATGCCCATGGCCCTGATGTCCATCCCAGCCCTAATGAGCACCAACCCGGAAGTGCGCGTCCAATTCCAACGGGATGCATGGATCATATACCGTGGGAAGACCAAAGTCGCCACTGCCTCCATGTTGCCGGATCAACGACTGTACGTAATCGAAGGGACATGCGTCACAGACTACGCCAACGCAGCTATGGGGGACGTGCCGCCGTTGTGGCACCACCGAATTGGACACCTGCCCATCGACGCGTTGCGGGCTTGCGCTCGAGCTGGACTGGGTCTGCCATCGCACCTGCAAGCACCAACACGTCCCTGCATGGACTGCCCACGAGCAAAGATGCATCGAGTCAGCTCGCCTAAGACGCACACCCTTTCGTTCGCACCAGGGGAGTGCTGGCACGCCGACACCAAAGGACCATCGCCTACACCATCACTCAGCGGTTGTCAGCACTACTGTACACAGTTTACGTGGGTGACAGTACCGGGTACAAGATTGTCCGCTTTGTGCACTCAACCGACGCTGCCACGCAAATGCAGAACTTCCAAGCAATCGTGGCCTACTCGGAGCGCCAGACCGGACGTCAAGTGAAGATCTTCCGATCTGACGGAGGCTCTGAGTTCGTGTCACACGCATTCGAAGACTGGCTCACTACGAAAGGCATCAAACACGAAATGTCAGCCGTCGACAATCAATGGCAAAACGGGGTGGCTGAACGCACACATCGTACGCTAATGGAAATGGCGTTTGCCATGCTCATGCATGCCCGCATGGCACCACGATGGTGGGCTGAGGCCGTCAACACCACCGCATTCATCTGCAACCGGGTCCTTTAAACAACGGCATGTGTGAAACGCCCGCTCGAATTGTTCAGCGGTCACGTACCAACGTTGATCAACATGCGTGTGTTCGATGCAAATGCTTCAACATGGTCAAGGCGCCGGAACACCGCAACAAACTGGCACCTAAGTCAACACTCTGCGTCATGGTGGGCTACACTAGAACATGAAAGCCTACAAACTGTACGACGTCGATAACGGGCGCATGACCCACGGTGTTCATGTCAAGTTCCTCGAGACCGAGTTCTTCGGTGCCGCAGACCTACCACAAGTACTCGACGAAGACGAGGACAGTAACGATGATGAGACCCTTACCAGCTCCATCGCTGCCCCATCCCAACGAACGATGGCGACGTGCATCGCACTTCAAACCCGCGTATTGCCGAATGTCGTCGATTATTGAATCAGGCCGTCGTACCGAAAGGGACACCATCGACTTGTCCGCTGCGCAGCCGACCCCTGCCCCTGCCGAAGCCAGTTCAGAAACGCAAAGCCGTCGCGACCCACACACCGGTACCACGCACTTCATCCAGAACGCGTTGTTTGATCGCACACACCAGCCGACCTACACGCAATCACCTCATGTCCCACCGGTGTCTCACTATCGTACCCGATCAACGAGCATGCCGTCCGGTCCTGTGCCCACAACGGACACACCTGCCCCGGCAGCTGCACCGACACGTTCGTCGACAAGCATACGCAAACCAAACCCGCGTTTTGCTTCTTTTGCAAACGCACCCTTGGACGCTTCACACGGAGGCTACCAGTCACATGAACTCGACGACGACATTGACAGCAACACCATGCTATACCGTGTCGGTGGAATCGACTATGCATGCGCCGCAGTCCACACACAATTGCATCCGTACCAAACAGCCACCGAGAGGCCATGACATCGCCCGACTGGCGCCACTGGAAGGCTGCCGAGGAAGCGGAAGTGGCCCAAGTGACTCACTTACAGTGCTGGACGGTTGAGTCACCTCCGGCAAACAGAAAGATCATCGGGGGACGGTGGAGTAACGCTCGCAAAACGGATGCAGAAGGCAACGTCATCCGATGGAAAGCTCGCTGGGTCCTAAAAGGCTTCAACCAAGTTGCAGGTTTCGACTATGATGAGTCGTCGTCAAACGTCATCAAAATGACGTCGGTCCGCGCCATCTGCGCCGTCGCAACTGCTCGGAACCTGGTGCTGGAGCAAGCCGACGCGATCAATGCCTACATACAAGCAATGTTAGCGCAACGAATATGGG